TATATATATATATATATATATACACACAATTTTAGGTATTCACTTAATCTTGTTAGGTATAGGTGCTTATTTCCGATTTTATTATCGGAAGTCCAGTTCAGCGTCCTTTTGTGATTTCTTTCTATCAAATAATCATACTTGGCTACCCAGTGTTTACCGTGGGCACGATAACTGATATATATATATATATATATCTGTGTTAGAGATCGTTTCAAATAAAAGAGCTTAATATTGTAAGAGGGAATTGTTCATACATGAATCATTAGAAAAATGAAAAAAAAAATATATATATATATATATATATATATATATTTGAAAATACATATGTGAACCGACAATACACAGTATTCATATGAGTTCATATATACAATTTGAAATTGATTTCTTCAATAATTGACATATGAACCTTCACTTAATATTTTCCCCCTTAACTTCTCACGATATTTACCTTTTTTTTAACCACCCACTACATATATTAGGCCAATTCAAATAACAAGATTAAATATCGTGATAAGATGGAAATTGAAGATTAAGAAGTGATTCATATGTGAATTATTAAAAAATTCAAAAAAATTCGTTGGATATGCATATTTGAACTGATGTTATAGATTATTCACATGAGCTCACGTATGTATGTTGAAAAGAATTGTTTCAATGATTCAGATATGAATTTGTTTCTTCTTATTTCGAATAATATTTAATTTTTTTTATTTGAACCTCTCACTAGATATAATATTAGTCGTTTTTTTTAATCATTTTTTATTTGTACAATAATGGTATGTGACGATTTAATTGACATTGACTTTTAAACGTCTTGATCAGTGTTTATAATTTATAGTAACTGGTTTAATTAAAATATCATTAGTACAATAAGTTTGCTCAAAAAGACAGTTGCTTAAAAAAAAGTTTTGTACGATCAATAATGATATAACAAGCTCGAAATTGGTGTCGGGAATCAAGCAGGCACATGCAAATTGATGTGATTTGTATACCTAAATGTTAGCGTTAACGTTCGGCATTGAAATAGGTGTCATCATCTGAGCAATGATACCAATAAATTGTATGCCCAATAATAGGCTTACGTATACTACAATCCATATCATAACATTAGCACTGAATTTGTAAAAACCTACGAGGGTTCAAATCTAGCAGCCATAACGTATAAGCTACAATTCCCTTTTTTTTTAATTAACCTGGACATCGAATCCGCTAGGCGAGCTGACTAATCCCAATGCGACCACTTGTTTTGCAGGTAACCCGGAGTCATCTCATTTGAACCT